CGTGGCACGATGGGCGGGGCCTCGGGACAGGCGGTCCAGCTCCGGAAAGCCAGGGCTCTAGTGGTGTAATGGGGTCAGGTTCCTCTACGGCTGTGGGGCTGCGTGGAGGTGGAACCAAGGGTCCCAGACAAGGGCCGCCCGGCCCCAGTGGGTTAATGAGGAAGAGAGGCCTGCAAGGAGGCTACTGTGGGGGGGACAGGGCAGAAATGCAGGCAGTGGGGGTGGCTCCAGGCAGTGGCCTGTGACCAGCCCAGGCTGATGAGGGGAGGGGACTGGGGGCAGCAGCCCTCCCAGGTCAGAAGCCTCTCTCCTGGGGCATCTAGGCTGTCTGTGCCCCTGCCTGCTGGGCTGCTGAGGGAAGTGGGGCAGGGACCCACCGCCCACCCCTGGCGCATCAAGCCCAGTGCCCAGCAAGCGGAGTCCCGCCCACCTCGAAGGTGAGCTTGTTCTTGTCCTCGTTGGCGAAGGGCACGGCCTCGCCGACCACGTTGTTGAGGTAGTCCTCCACGAACTCCATGGTGCTGGCGAACTTGTTCTTCTTGTCATCTCGGGCGGCGTTGAGGTTGGAGTCATAGCTGGGGGTGGGGGCAGTGAGGCTGAGGGTCCCTGAGGTCCGCCCACCCGCCGTGCCCGGCCCGCCCTCTCCCACCCCTCTCACTCCTTGATGGTGATGGCGGTGGGGATCTCGGTCCAGAGGCGGGCAAACTTGACAGGCGTGACCAGCTCCTGGGGGTCGCGGTCCACGTGCACGTGCAGCATCAGGTGGCAGAAGGAGGCGCGCAGGTCAAAGGGCAGCATCTCGTCGGCCATGCACAGGAAGATCAGGTCGACGCCCAGCTGCTGGGAGATCTCGTGGATGGCCAGGTACTGCCGGTCCAGGCACATGCGGGCAAAGAGCTTCAGCTGGTACCTGCGTGCAGGGGGCATGGTGAGGGCCTGGCGGGGGGCTAGCGAGGGCTGCTGGCAGGGCCTGGGCTTGAGGGACGCTTGAGAAAGTGGCAAAGGGGCTTGGGCTCCACCATGCACCGGCCACTGTCACAGAAGGGGCACATTCTGAGCGAGGTGATGGAAAATGCCGGGACTTACGGGTGTTTGCAAATCTCTCCCAACTTGCTAAGGATGCCAGCGCTTTCTGGCTCAGCCAGGACAGGTGTTGGTAGGAAGAGGGACGGCTGAGAGCAAGGCTGTGACGTGGCAAGGAGAGCGTGAGGAACCAGCCTCGGGCAGGGTGAGGGCAGGACTGGGGGAGGGTGGGTGTAGGAAGCTCTGTTTGGCAGGTGGTGTCACGCCCTCTGCTTGGTCCTCAGCCCTGCCTTACCTGCCATGGGCTCCGTGCTCACCCCACAGCTCTGTACCCTTGGGCAGGTTCCTTTACCTCTGTGCCTGTCTCCTGAACTTCACTGAGGGTGAGGGTAGTCCCTGCCCCACAGGGGCCTTGAGGTTTGGGTGAGTGATGGGTGAAGGGCTCGGAGCAGTGCCTGGTGGACAGGGAACGTCTGATACGTGTTACGCACTCTCCTTGTTTTTAAAACGCGTGTGGAGGCAGGTTTGGGTTTCTTCCAGGACTGTCACTGAGCCGAGCCTGGCCTCGGGGTCACCCAGTGCTGCTCGGGGAGCCTCCCTGGTGAGGCTGTGCTGTGGGCAGGTGGAGGCGGGAGGCCCCAGGGAGGCTGCACCCAGTGCTGCTCGGGGAGCCTCCCTGGTGAGGCTGTGCTGTGGGCAGGTGGAGGCGGGAGGCCCCAGGGCAGCTGCGGGAGCTCTCCCCCAGCAGGGCAGGCTGCGGCCTCCTGAGGCGGCCACAGGGCACAGAGCACGGGGGGAGGGCGGGCACCTGTAGTAGCTGAGCACGTTCTCGTCGTGGGCATTGCCGGCCCGCGCCTCCTGGGCCAGCTGCCTCACGCTCTTCTCATGGTGTTCGTTGTTCTTGTCGGTCCAGGTGAGCCACACTTCCTCCTCGGAGTACTCGATGGTCAGGTACTCGTGGGCCTGGGCCATCTCCTTCACGGGCCGAAGCCTGCAGACCATGGCCAGCCATCACCCACGGGACTCCACCCAGAGCCCGCCCTGAGCGCCCGGCCGCACCGTCCTCTCCCCCTGGGGCTTGGCCCAGAGCCAGCCAGGCTCCCAAGCTGGCCATGTCCAGCTGGAACCCCAAACAAACCGTGAGCTTCTTGAGGGCAGGGCCTTGGCTCCTTCTTGTGCCCCCTTACACTCCCCCCCCTCCCTGCGCCAGCACAAGGCTGGGCACACAGAGGGCACTGGGTACACTGGGTACATGTCTGCGGAGAGCGCTGGGTGCCAGCTCCAGCCTGAACCCAGCCGGGCCCCAGCTCTGAGCCGGCCGGGAGCCCTGCCTGGGAGCCAGGCAGGGTGCCGGCTGGGTGGGGCGCCGTGGATGGGGACATCGCGCCTGCTCACTCGGTCTGGATGAGGATGTCGCTGTTCTTGGGGTCCAGCACACACTTGCAGATGAGCTCCTGGGTGACGGGGATGGCGATGTGGTTGGACACACACAGGTCGGAGAGGTAGTCCAGGAACCTGGGGTGACAGCAGGGGTGGGGGCGCTCAGAGCAGCTCCCCTTCCCCAGTGGCTGCACAGGCTCCCTCCCCAGATAGCCCCATGTGGGGCGGGGGAGTGGGGGTGAAGGGTGGGAGGAGGGGTAGTGGGGTCCAGGGAGTCAGGATAAAGGAGGCGCAAGGACCGGAGTGATATTCAAAATATTGAACAACTGACTCAACACAGGCACTGACTTAGCAACTGGAGGAGGGTCTGAGGGCCTCGGGCTGCCCCAGACGGCAACCCCCTTGTAGCCAGACTGGGCCCAACTTGGAAGGGACCCTGGAAGGGGCTGAGACGCCAGGGCCTCAGAGAGGGGGCAATTTATCAACAGAGGCAGGAGCATGTCAGTGTTTTAACAACCAGCAGAGGCCAACTTTCCACCTGGACAGGGGTGGGGGAAGGAGAGAGTGGGGGCAGCAGGGAGGGCGGGCCCACCTGGGCTGGGCAGGGGTGAGGGTGGAGGGAGGAGGGGCAGCAGGGAGGGCAGGCTCACCTGGGCTGGGCAGGGGTGAGGGGGGGAGGAAGGGGGGCAGC